ACACGGCGGAAAAGATGTTATAGAAAACGCAATTCACGGTTACCTAGCCCAATAGGATCACCAAATGAAGCATCAAACCGCCCTATAAATTATTTATAGCTTCCTTCCTCACTTGTCACAGTTATTGCGACCCAACACTGCAGCTATCACGGATGCAATTGTTATCCTTTTGTTATGCAACCAACTTGTGTGCACGAAAGCTATTTCTCCATGCCATTCAAATAACATGGATGAAGATCGATCGCTTATAGTACGCAACGCTGTGGTGACCTGGTGGAATGAAACACGTCACACCATTCACTCGATCCTCTTCTCTCTTCTTATCAACCACTGTAACCTCTATCCGAATGAAAATCTTCGCACTTCTACATACCGAGTTTTTTAAGAAAATCTTTATAGGTTAGTAGGTGGGTCACTGAAAACAAATTGTCTCATCTAAACGCATGTTCTCAGACGTGGAAAGTTCGTGGTCAAAATTAGTTTCACACACGAAGAAAAGACAACTGTTCTACGCTACACATGCTAAAATATATATCACCCTAGCATTGGGATAATGTTAGGGTCATTTATATGATTCTAAAAATATATTATAATAGTGCCACATGTGAGTGGAGCTGATGATTTCTTTAATATTTTGTCATTTATGCGATACAAACGGTTGAGTATTGAGACTTAATTTAATGTATTTTAAAATGCGCTGCAACTCTGTGTCTGACAAGGGACCAAGACAAGTGAATGGAGAGTTTATTCTTATTCGAACTAGTTAGCAAAAGGTAACTTTGTTTCCAAGCTGTAACTTCAACCGCGTCAGCTGTTGTATAATCAATCCTAGGTCAATCACTGCATATAAAGTGAAAAGTTAACTCGCAGTAGACACTACTTCGGCAATCCAGGTCAATAACTAGATTCAGAACATTGAAATCACTTGGGATAAAATATAATTTGCCTTCTAACGCCTAACTTGTGTGAGTAAAAATAGTCGTTCTGGGCATTCCAAAGACCTTGGCCCCAAACCAGTCCATATGTGCTTGGGGATGAGATCAGTTAATTGGGCATTATTACGCTCATCACAATGAGTGAACCAAAAGATTTTTGACCGTCATCAAACTTATCCCCAGTTTTTACTAATAAATTGAATCAACCTGGTTATCCTCAAACCCATTTCTCCCTCATTATAAATATACATAGTAAATCAAATTTAATTAAATGGTTTGTGCAGATTTTTGACGATCGTCTTTTTCCGATTGGATAAATCTGCCCCTTATGTGACTTAGTTACAAAGCATGGTGTTTCGAATAATAAGGTTTTGTGTAATCCAAAAAACTAAAAGGAAAATACTGCTAAAATAAAAAAGTACTTATCATTCAGGCAGCTGCTTTGTTATCCTGTATTTGGGCATGTTGATTAGGTATTACCTAAGCCAATCATCGGTTTCGAACAACTAGTTCCTAACTTTGACACATCCCACTGCACTTTGATCACTCAAAGGCCCAAGAGCGAACAGGACACGTTATTTGGATGCATCACGTAATAAACGTTTATCCAATAATGATGGTGGAAACGTGGGATAACCGATCTCGGTTGAAGTGGGTAATGCACTCATGTTTTAAATTCAAATTTATTTCATTAGAGGATGAGCAAAAGGTCCAAGACACATCGGCAGCTTTACGTTAGTCCAGATCATAGCCCGCAATAATCGTTTTCTCAGTCTTCTATTCGTATTTATCGCATGCTTGAGGTCAGAATGTCAATAAATGCACTTAATTCTTATTTGTTGATGTGCAAAACGTCTATGAGTCAGCAACTGAAAGACCCATAACTCCAACCGCACTTGAAGAATAAAAAAGTATAACATTAAATGATTTTACATATTTCAAAGACTCAGTTTTGTGTCCTCTTTTTTTAAGCTTAAGTGTACACTAGCAATGATGAGCGCTCAATCGAAAAAAATGCGTGCAACACTTGCTCTCAGTTTATAATTATTTCAATGAGAACAAAATAAGCAAACTATAAACAAAATCGATTTGAACTACCCTCATCATTTATGAGTCACGTGAAATCGACCAGTGAGATTTAGAGACAGGATCCTATGAAATCTCTGCAGACATCCGTCTATGTGACAAAATAAGCATACACCCACACCGTCACAAACCCGCAAGCATTGTGCTACCATCCCGTGAGTAAACGCACGAACGCTGTTTCATTTCAGATCGCCAACTAAATGATCCAATCAAATGATCGCATTGATCCACTTGATTGATAAGACAAAGTTGGAACAGACCGAAGTCAAGCCGAAGAACACACATTTTACCTTACTTTTAACATATTTGAAATATTGTATGTAGTGAACCGCAAACAGTATGCCTGAACGAAAGCAGTCAATCAAGAATAATATATCCCCGCTGGATGTGGTGTTTCTTATTGCTGTCCTCATCGGTTGTATTATGTCAATTCTGGTCTTGGCCTTGGAACCCGGACTGAGCTGTGAGTTTCCAGAGAATAGAAAATCCTTTTTACTAATATTTGACGTGTTTTATTCAGAGTTCGGAGTAGATTAGGTCGAGAGACATCGCAATACTATTTAGGAACTAGTCAAGGACTCTATTCTAAAATTATCGTTCTTATAAAAACCTCTCATGCCCCTAATATTTCATTGGGGAAACAAATTTTGAGACCTCTTGAAATGATTACTCGATAAGACATAGGGCTAACTGTTTTATGGGTTTCTCACAGACAAACACAACGCCTCTTCGGTATTTTAGTTTACATTTTTTGGAAGCTCTGTCTTGTTTATTTTATCATGGATTATCATCAAGGATTCTCGTGCGGTGAGTATGCATTAGTGTGTACAAAAACAATATGCAACCTATCGGGAGAAGCATCAATGGAACTGGCAGAGTGATGCTCCTTGTACACATTGCCGAGAAGAGTTCATTTTTGTAAAAATCTCATTTAAGATTTTTTTCATTCCATATTCTATTGTTTTTCCCACCATATTCACCAACAGTGTGCAAAATTTTCCCCAAATTTGTTTGAGGTTCTTTAATACATTTTATCTCAGACCTTTAAACGTTTTTAAACGTTCATAATACCTGCTATCCGCAAAGAAATAAAGTTGGCTCAGAGGCACACTGGGGATTACGCCTAGGAGTTATTTTTATAGTTAATTTGGGAATAAAGATGCTTTGCCGTATAACAAGATGATATGATCAAAAATGCTGATATGTGGATGATGTCTCTTGTGCTAACGAAAAAAAGTGAATAATGGGTGCCACGAAAAACCTACCGCCGCACAGCCGACGATACTGTGTTTTTAAGGTCCTATTCTGAGGGGGATTTATTTCAAAGCCACCTGTAATGAGCGGTACACCTATCTTTATTATGCTAACCGTATAGAAGCAAAACGTGTGTATTCAATTTATATAAGATCGGACACATTTATGTAAGAGATACTCTGAAGACGAAATTATCATACACATGCGAGAAATATTACTGAATAAAGTGTATTCTAATAAATTGGTTGCAATAAAATTAAATGGAAGGACAAAATCAATAAAGGTTTGACAGATTAAAGAGAAAAACCTTTCATCAGACACTCTTTCAAAGGAAATATCACCGGTTTGTTACACGCCCACAGTGAAAACGACATTTAATATCCTGTGTTTATCATGTCACAAACAGCCCGATCTTTATTTTTTGTCGTAATATGATGTCCCTTACGTAAGTGTCCCTACGAGCCGGATATCGATACGTATCATTGGAAATCCTCTCCGTAGTCTCATGTAATGATCAAGTGGAGTTACCTAATCTCCACTCTTGATAGAAACTTTCCACTCTCAAAATTCAATCCATTTTATATCCGATTTCCTAAGCAATGCATGTTGTGTAGGGCTCTAGAGATCGGTATCCGCCGAGGTAGTAGCCGCTGTGAGCAGAGGAATTCTGAGCACTTCAATGTCTCTGGTAGAAAACTGACCTAGCCACGATTAGCTCAACAGTTACAGCGTAGACAGTAGGCAATACTATACCAAGACAAATAACGATATTCGCAGGCAATCATGTCCAATATATTTTGACTGACTTGTGCTTAATTTTTCGGCTCACTCAACCTGGAACGTATTTTGAATCAAAAAGCTGTGCTACGAAATGTAATGCCGACCAACTTCACATGAACATCGACCATATTATTACTACCCTTTCATCGGAAAAGCTTCTAACATAATCATCCATGGTCTAAAGGAGGCGAAACGGTGGGTTTCACTGTGGGAAGTACAAAAAGTAAACCTGACTGAAGTTGCTATCGTATAGTTGTATTCGTATAATAGTCTACGAATCATTTTAAGCAAGACCCATTTTGGAAGCGCTCTTCCCCACAAACCTTGGAGCTTGTACCTAAAACGATGAGCCAGTATCATCATTTCAGGAGCACCATAAAAGCCGAGAAACGTTCCATCATTGTATGGCGATGTGACGTCTGTGGTTAGTTTGTTAGCGTTTGGTCATGGTGACCCCGACAGTTGGAAGTTTCAGCCCATCCATACATCATATAATAGTTTGTAAGTGCGTCGCTTGCCACACATTCCTCACTTCCCTATTCGATGTTCGCCAGTCTTCCATCGAACGCGGATCCCTTCTTCAACACTGGGTGCCCTTCACGATTAGTTGATCGACACTAGACTACTTAACACTGGACGCGTCGCCATACAAAAAGCAGTCGCACGAATGAGGTTCATTCATTGTGGATGTTGAATTCCAAAGTTATTCGACTGGTTCACAAAAAAGTAAATTTACTTAACATTATCTTGTTTCTTGGAATGAAATTATGCATGTGATAATTTTTACGGTCTCCCGATCGGGGTTGCAAATCTGGGTAACAGAATCTTCTAATTAGTAACAGTGAAGCTTGTGATCAGCTCTCTATGGTCTGTTGTTCATTGTTGATTTGTACGTTGTTTAGACAACTGGTTCAACTTAAAACTACTATCATTTCTTTTATTTGAATGTTTCGAAATCGGCTCGTTCAAGATGGCGGATCGAGAGTGACTCCGAGAACACAGGGAGCCACAGCAATGACTGTGATTGCCATGCTTCTCCTGTTTGCAATGCTAATAATGGAGATTGTGGTCTTTTTCACTTGTCGTGAGAACTACAAGAAGATCCTCATCGTTCTCATTACGTTCGGATTAATTTCATGTAAGTTACCTTTTTCAATATGGCATAGAAATTTACTAATTTGGAGCTCAGCGACAAAATTATAAAGAGCAGTAGAAGAAGTTTTCAATGGCGTGAGGAATTTAGTTGGTTATAGCTCATTGAAAAACGTACCCAAAAGACATGAACCCCTGAGCAGATCAGAGTTCTGACTTTTTTGAGTCTCATCGACAATCAACGTTTTGATCAATTTACCTTTAATTGAGTGAGTGGTATGTTTATGTTCTAACTTTGATGTCCCGAGTTGGATACCTAGCTTCATCCAAGTATTAGCAAGCTGCTGAGACCAAATAAGATCGAAGCAATTATTATTCCGTGATTAGCTGATTTTCTCAAGTTATCCGCAAAGGCTTAACCTTGGTCAGTCTGGCTTCCTAAATGTTTTTCCTTCATTGTCTAGATATATTTTACGAGATAAACTGGAAAAAAGGGAGAGGGAAATAGAAACAGGTTGCATGATTTATTCCGCCGTAGATTTCGCTGCACCCTAACAGTGAAAAGTGGCATAAAACAAAAGTTTTTTTCGTGAGATTTTTTACCAGTTACACATGCATGTGGGTTGCCCGAAGTATGATACTCTGAACAGCCGGGGAATTTAAAGATTTACAGCTCTATGAATCGTTTAATTTTGTCTTTATAATAATAGAATGTCTGAGGTGAGAATTAATTTTGTGTCGGCCTTTTCTTGTGAGGTACTTATAACTAAATCTTGACACCGATCTAATGCATATGCTGTCTCAGTTTCTGACTTAGAACCGGATAGGTCAGTGAGGATAGTCCCCAAGGTGCTATCCATTCTCACAAAGTCCATTTGTCAGTAAGCTTTCCCTTGAAAACTGAAGCTAACACTTCTTGCTCCTAAGAGAATGAATCATTCTAGCTCCCACATTGGTAGGCGAACTTTCAATTTGTGCTGCTCAATATATTGTTAGGGTTACTTCATTGTCTCACACAGTGGCACGGTAATGAATGTTGATTCAAGATCCATTATTTCCGGAAATTCGTCTTTGATGCTGAAATGGTTTATTAGTTCAGTTAGTTTTACACTGTTTGACATTATATTTGGACAGTGGAACTAGAATAGGCTTGAACAGTTGTGTCAGCCATTTTGCCTGCTTGTGTTGTGAAGAATTATTGGGCGATATTATAGATGTTGGTGGAATTCCTGATTTGTGCTTAGGAAGATCAAGCAGTTGGGGTATTGTTCTTCCTATCAGTGTTAGACAATTAAGGGAGATGTTGCTGACGAATCAGCAATGTTTGAAATTCTGTCGCTTGTTGTCAGGTTATGAGTTTTTGGTTCAGCACGAAATTTCGAAGCGTCTTGTAAAACAGGAGACACTTTCTCTGAGTATTCCTCCCGGACTATGACCATGAGCCCGGAGGCTTTGTTGGGCTGGACGGTCACCAACCTATTAGCGGATTTCAGTGACCTTAGTGCTCTTATGTTTAATGTAAGCCCAATTTACAGTGATTCATTCTTCACTGTCATAAGCTGATTTCCAACATATTTGAAACTGATTTAAGTGCATCCAAAGCAAGCTAAGCTGGAGTTAGTTAAATTACGTCGTAAAGACCTGTGTATTTTTGGTACACACAGTGTCTGTTTTGGTTTACTGTGTCAGGCAAAGCGCTCTCCAACTTTATTCGACCCAGTAGAGATAAATTATCCAGAAATCACCACTTTCTCCTGAATGGTATCCGGTTTCGTGCATCCTCAGTGTGGCGTCAAAGGTCACTTTTGATCGGTATTATTTGTTCAGTCTGTGGTCGTTTGTAATAAGTAATTGAAAAGCTATTCTGTCGGACGTGAGCATGTAAGAATACAATCAGAACAAGCCATTTCGTAATATTCCATCTGTGCTTTAGATTCATTTCCAAGATCTTTGCGGCCACAAATGTGATCACCAACCGCAGAATTCTTACGTTCATGGAGTCAGTTGCAATTAGACGACGAAAACCCGGCCCGTGTGTACAAAGCTTTCTGTCAGTTACACGATCTGGCCAGTGTATGCCAAAGTTTACTGTGATGTGGATTCTACATTGGACATCCGTTTTTATCGTCCAGTGAAAATCAAATCCGGAAGTCAACAGTTGAAAAGGTTGTCATAAAATGTGGCGTTGTTATGAGGAAGGAATGGCTGAGCAGTTAAAAACCTTGATTCGTCAGACCAGTCTGGGAGTGCGTGTCCCCACTGTCAATGTACAAGCAGGTGATAGTGCATCTTCAATAAGAAAGTAGTTGAGGTTTACAATTATCCCAACTTACCAATATAAAAACGGCATTCTGCTGTGTCAGAAAAAGCCTTCAATGTCTGTCAATGCATTCGACTCAACGATTGCGGATGTGTACACTTCAAACAAGGGCAACGGTCAGCATAACATGAGCGGCCAACACTTGTCCGTAAAGGGTCCACTGGTTGCCCATCAGCCAATCAGATATACAGGTGTTGAGCAAAATCGTGCATTATCACTCTCATTTCGGAAATACATTTCAGTTTTCAATATCATGCATGTATATCGACAGCTATGGGTGAAGTGTATTTTGCATGACTTTAACCTCCACTTCTGCATTCTTAATTTTCTTCTATCAAGGTCGCCATAACATTTGTAGTAGTGAGGGGCGAGAACAACGAACTTGCGTGTCTGTTTCGACCAGTGGACCGGTAAATGCCACCAAATAGGTCGCTATGAGAGAATGTGGAGAGGAGGGGTGATCAATAAACTCGCTCGGTCAACTCAGGCGACAGAAAACAGAGAAATTATCGAAATGAAGAAGAAATAAAGGATGACTGTGAAAATTTACACACATCAAGGTATGAATAAGGCGAATCCGGTAGGATGGTGAAAATGATTCAACAGCATCACTGTCTTCGTTATGTTAAATGTAAAATCCCTCGATCTTGCCTTTTTGATATGTAACTGGTAAACTGCCCAACGACATCACATGTTGCTTTCTGTCGTACTGTCCCAGATGTGGTGCAGTTAAATCTGCCTTGGCATAATTCGCCCAACCCAGCTCTTTATCCTTAATGTCTACCAACAGTTAATCTAGCTAAATGAAAACAAAGTCAAAAATGAGAAACAACCCAACTTAAACACCAAAATAAATTAGAAGTATAGAACGTTTAAACGAAACACCAGTTTCGTTCTCAGTCGTGTTTTATTCTGGCTTATCGGGTAGGAGATCCGCCATACAATGTTAACCGAACGGTCGATGCTTTAAACCGGAGATTAAAATGCTATAATACTGAAGATGATACTTATTAATGGATTTTATTTCGGTGTCTCTTATTTCTACACAAATCTATGATGAAAAGAATGTGACTGATGGTAAATTTTTATTAGGAAGTCAAAACCCGGACCACGTGAATTGCAGTAATAAATAATGCTTTGCTCATATAAAGCAAGGTTTTGATCAAGAACCCGGAAGTTAGCATCGTTTTTCAAAGATTTGCTCATATTTCAAGTTTAGATCAATGAAGGTATGCAAAAAGAAGAAAACTGGTAAACTCTTCATTTTTAATTTTCGAAAGATGTAGTGTTCGTATAAACCAGTCTAACAGGGATTGGTTCACAATACCTAGCACTATGAGAATATGGTTGATACAGTAGAAAAATAACCGCATCAAATATGCCAGGCTTATGTCTAGTTCCCTATTTTTCATTATTTATTTCAAAGGCATTGAACTGTTTGTTATCAGTTAGTGGAGAACCCTTTATTGCCTGGTTAACCTTTGTGTCCCCAGCTTTCTCTAATCTATGCAGCATTCATCTTTAATTGAAGTAAAATGTGGAAGATGAGCGAAAGCGAACTTCTGCTGTTCTTTTCATTCGTCGGTTGCATTTTTTTTCGTTGGGGAATGATAACTTTACCACATAGAGAAGTGGCTTTCTCTCGATCTTGGTGTCTCCGATCGAGCGTATATTAAGCCAGTGGTTCATTTATAAAAATTTAGTTACATTAAATATCTTGCACAGTTTACAACGAATAAACTTTGTGAAATAGTCTGCCGCCAACCAAACTCCGTTTTATTCGGGGCTCAAACGAAAACCAACACCCTATGCTGTCGTTTGCAAGAGTGCCCTTCAATCCTTATATGGTATTCTTCCTATTTGTCCCGTTTAGAGATTTTGCAAACGTTTCTAGTTTACCATCCCACTGCAGCACACTCCCGCACACTCCCGATTAGACGCTCTGAAATAATTATTCCATTATAGCTTAAATTAATGCGAATTGATGCTAGAACGCTCAGTTACATAAACAATGTCATCAATGCTACCACTAAATTCACTCGATCGAATAATTAGCTCAAGAAAATGGTTCTGCTTGATTTCCAAAACTTGTTGCCAATATTAGCGATAACTAACCATTTTATTTCCGCTTGTCTTATTTTTTCAGTGGCCCTATTCATCGTTGGTGCCATTTTGAACTACACAGCAACTCCACATTTTGGCGCTTGGTTGATCGCTGCCTGCTGTCTGAGTTTCATATCTGCAATCATCACTGTGATTGATCATTATACTGAACATATTGTGTAATTGTCTTGTGATTTTCCTTTCTTATATATTCACTTGCGACGATTGGAGACAGCCTGTAGGATTAGGTGTGAGGCAGTGATTGCGTCTACTCACACGAGGCCAACTACAGCTTGTTGAGAAGTTGATTATATTAGGCTGTTGTGATATGCGCCTGTGATTTCCGAGTGACCTCGTTTTCCACCATGACATATTCATGGTTATCGCCTACGTGGATTTATGCAACCCAAACTAGTCTGTCAGTCGGTATCGATAATGCTTTGTCTGTTCAATACCGATTCCTGAATACAAATGGACATCACCCAATTAGACCACCCGCAAGCAATTTTAAAAGAACACAATGAAGAAAACTATACTTATTTTCTGTGATTCTTTTTTGGCTAATATAACACAATTTAGGTCACTCGGATTAAAACGGGGAAACAGAGATAGTCTGTACAAAATTTATTTTAATGAACTTGAGCAAACATGTTCAATGTCTCACGTTTCCGTTATGGTGTCTAGTACGGAGTTGACGAAGGTTGGGATAGATGAGTGCAAATAAGGAGAAATAATGACTGCGTGTCACGTTGGCATCCAGAACGGCCCTCAGGATCCAACTCAACTATAAAGTTCTTGTTTCTGCAATCGCATTTCGCGTTTACTCTTTCAATTGTTCCTGTGGTACAACTTGCATTCATTGCACAAGCGGAATCTTGGCTCCGAGAGTTCGTGAGTATCACACTAGGTTGATAAAATCAATTACGAGCGCGAACTGTTCTCACCTTGGCGAGTTATGTCGTTTGGTTGACTTGACTAGGACATTTTGCCCAAATTACCAGGTCTGTGAACATCAATATCAGCGGATTAGACATACCTTCTTAGCCACAGAGGAGGCAGAGGGAATCCACATTCAATCGGCCCTTGTGTGCACAAATCAACTAGTGAAGTCATTGGGTTTTCCGTAACCTACCACTCATCCCATTTTCACCCACCCCTCCTAATCTTCGTAAAAACCATACCAGACAACTTACGGAAACAATAAATAGATCCTCTATTCTTTCAAGAATTTTAAATAGTAATAAATACTTTTGTAAGTACTACCTGTGCCTTTCAGTGTTTTATCTGATTTAGGCAAATTGCGATTTATCAGACAAGGAAGACGAATTCCTGAAAATAAGTTTTGTTAACTATTTTGTGCTTTATACAAACAAGCATCCAATACACATGCATAGATGAAAAATGCTGATGTCGACCTTGGCTGAGAAGGAGAAATGAACTAGCCATTTGATGAGGTACTTGACAGCTGTCTGAAAAGCAGACCCTACAAAACCCTGGTTCGTCTCACAGATCATTGACAGGCAGCGCTTTAAGCGTTTGGGAGAAAATCATTGACACAAAAATAACGATCAGTGTGATCAATAACGGACAGAAAGGTGTATGCAAGTCTATAATAACACCAAGTTGGACATTTGAAGTAGTTAGTGATAGTATTTAAGAATGAGTTGCATCTCATTTATGACGATAAAATTCAAGTACCAAAGGAATCAGGAAACGAAGGTACAAACAAACCCGTAGTGCAGGTGGTTGGATGAGTGGTAAACTTACTTTTAATTGGGGTCGTAGTGGTCGTACAGTGGTATCGATTCACCAAACCGGAGGTTACATGTTCGAAACCACTAACACGATCAACACTGTTCAACATATGTAACTCATCGTCCCCTAGTGAATGTGGATGAAACACTTCGCTTGATAGCGAAATTCGACGGTGTAATTTTCCATTATGATAAAAGCAAAAGGCAAAGGGCATCAGGACGTATGAGAATGAAAGTTTTATATACATTCTAAATGAGTTCAAATAGCCAAAACCCATACCGTCAATAATTCTCTCCGTAAGTCACTATCACTTTTTTTAGCTGTATTCAATAAAATAGCCGAATATCCACCACACGAATGCAGTAAACTGATTCACACTCTACATAACTTGGGTTCGTTTTTTACTTTTAGGCAATATTGCATTATTTTCATCCACCAATAGCCCCTCCCCTGGATTCAAAAGCACTTAAATAAACCTGCGTAATGAGCATTCTTAAGTCGAGGACCGCATTGTAGTTTGGGGACTAAAAGTCAGTTTAATAACGACGTGCATTAACGTTATACTTACAAAAATCAAAAGACGAATAATTTCAAGGCAATCATGCCTCACTGGTTCCACTTCAGATCTCCAAACGTTGGAGTTCAAATCATTGATATGTAAACAACAAACGTCATCATTCTAGTAATGCGTACGGATCCCTGTGGAACTCCTCGTGATACGCTGATTGGATTAGAAAGTGAACCAGAAACCCGAACTGCCATGGTGCGTTGTCGAAGAAATTCTTTTATCCAGCCCAGTATAAGTCCCCGAATTACGTAGTTGTGTAGTTTCCTCACTCGATCGACGGCTTTGAAAAAGTCGAAGTACACGACGTCCACTGTATCACCATGATCAGCTGATTTTGTCCAATTTTCTTGGGTCAGAAGCAGGCTAGCGGTAGACGATCGCCTGCGACGAAACCCATGTTGAGTAGGGGATAACACGTTATAGTTTTCCAAGTGGCTCATCACATTACCTGCAACGATGGATTCCATGACTTTGGATAATACGAGGAGAAGAGTAACGGGGCGGTAGTTAGCTGGTTCGCTACGACAACCGCCCTTGTATGTCAGAGAGATTATCCCTTGTTTTCATGTTTTTGGGAGTGCAGTTTGGTTGAACATTTGTTGGAATAGTTTGCTTAGTGATTGAGTTAAGGTACACGCCAGGTTAGAAGGATTTGTGGATAAATATTATCTACCCCTGGAGATGAGTTCCTTTCGAAACACTGCAGTTTGGATGCAACGATTTCTGGGGGAAAATCAGTTGTGGTGATGTATCCTCAAGTAACAGAGACAGTCGTAGTCCGGTGTTCGCAGGTGCGGTGAACACTTGAGCGTACTGACGTTTTAGCATTTTGTGACTAAACCACTTTCTGCTACCCTGAACGCTGGAATACCAAACCTAACGTTTCTTGTGGCATTTGTGTGTTTGTACAAAAGCTTGGGATTTGATATAAACTTGCGCATGAGCATTTCTTGGTGTATTAACTTGTCTTCTTGCGCCACATTGGCATAGAGGTTTTGGAGTTGACAGTAGATATACCATGTGTTGCAGCAAGGAGATCGTTTATAAGCTCTCCACGAGATATTCTTCTGCGAAATCCACTTTTTTGTTCAACTTCGAATTGCTGATCTTTGACCACTTGAGTAGGTGATGCGTTTGGTCTTCGTCGCGCCTCGCACCATTTCCGTCAAGTGGTTTGTAAATTCGTCCCAGGATACCAGGGGATCACACTGTTCGTTAACGGAATTTCCATGGGAAACCTCTCTCTAAAATTTTAAGTTTAGTGTAGTCAACAAACATACAGGAGCTAACCGCAGAATTGTGCGGTACGTAAGCATAGCAAATGTAGTCAAACGTCAGCAAAGCATGATCACTACACCCTNTAATGGAGTTGCAGTGGAAATCGTTTCCACCATCAGTTCCGCGTTAGCTAACACCAGGGCCAGAACTGATGGTGACTGGTTGGCTCCAAACCTCGTGGGCTCCTTCAAAAAATTGTAAAGTGGATAGGATTCCATGAGCTGTGCAAGGTTCCTCTCAAACGGTTGTAGAGAGGTCGCTGATTTAGCTAGATTAGGGCAATTGAAGTTTCCCATAATGAGAACATGTGTGAACTTCAGTGACAGTATGTGATACATGGTTTGCAATAGTGTCTCATTGGCTGAGTCAGTGGATGAGGGAGAGCGGTACGACACACTAATCAAGCCGATATTGCGCTGCGACAGTCACACTTCGCGCCATATTGAGTCAGAAACCGCAGCAGGATAATCAACTACTTTGCATTGTGTTTGCTGCCAACGTAGAGTAACACTCCACCACCCCTTGTAGGTTGATCGCGTCTGAGCGGAGTCATGCCGAGTAAGCTTAATTCTGAGTCCAGAATGTCGGTTGTCAGCCAGGTTTTGGTGACTGCAATAAAATCCCATTGCCCAGTTTGTCAACGCAGTTCTACCTCTGAAAATTTGCTGAGAAAACCTTGGGAGTTAGTGTTGAAACAATGCAGTTGGTTGGCGGAGCAGAAACTGGTCGGTGAGCAGAGGGTTGGTTGAGCCAATCATATCGTGTTCGGCTAAGAGAAGCTTTTTGGGAGAGGTTTTTGGAACTGATCTGCCAGTTACAGGAAGGAACATGAAGTCTGGGGGAACCCAGTATGTATGGAAGTGATATTTTCTGCCTGAGAAACACTTTTGGTTTCTGTGTTGTTCATCGGTTTCAACCTAAGTTCTGATGGTCCCTTGATCTTGTTGTCATACCACGACTGTAAGATAGTCGTAGCCATTTCCGGTGTGCCTAGAGTTATTTTCAGATTTCTCCGGCCGTCTCCGCGGTAATTAGGAGAACAGGGAAGACAGCTTACTGCTGTAGTCGTGACCTGTCGACATCCGACGAGATGCTGAATGAACCACCACTCTTTAAATTCATTTTTCTGGCATTTTTATGCGTCGGAATCATTTAATTGTGGGACTCCGTGTATAAAAATCACCCTCGCATTGTCTGTTTTCCGTACGCTGTTTGGGTTATTCCGCGCGCTCGCTCCATGGTATCTCTGGTAGAATCCTTATTTTGCTTGAACTTCCTCGAAGGAGAAAGCTGGACAGAAGAACGTTTTCTACGTCTGATTCACTTTATAGTGTCACCCGGAGTAAACGGGGTTCTCCGGCGTGAGGTGAATTAGGCTGTCACCAAAGGCGTGGGAGACCCGTAGGCTGGGCGCTGACCCCCATTTACGTACACAGAGCCTCCAAGCACCTCAGCTGTTCGTCTTGTCTTTTTCTCAAGGACAATGATGTGGACTCAGAAAAGTTTGTGCAAATCACAGTCAAAGAAGTGTTGGTCACGTCATTCGTTTTTGCAGGCATAGCAGTTTTCTTTGAAGAAGCAAATAAGGGAGTCCATCTAAATGACCTGGCAGTCCTGAGTCTGAAACCTGCCACAACTGCTCGTCTTCCCAATTTCTAAATTCCTCCAGGTAGCATTTACATGACCGCGGTCTTCTTTCTCAAATTAGACTAAAAATTTTCACTCATTACCTACAAAAATATTAAGAAACTTTTATTTCACATTTAACTCGTCATTACTTGTGAGTAGTATTGTGGGATAGCTGATATTGATTGATTTGAACTGATTATTCTTCGGACTTCATCTTCACGCACAATCCTCAGTTCTTTGACTTAACTATACACTCGGAAGCACTAGACTCGCGTTTCTCTCCCATTGGGGTTCATCAGTAGTGCATACCCACTGTCCAGTCCGGTATTTGAACTACGGACCGGGGTCTTTCGACTAGAGTTAACAGATTGTTAACTGTGTCTCCCTCCGTTGCTGTCCTGCCAAAATGAACTGACTGACCATCACTGGATATGACACCTGAACAAGCATGAATTTGTAATCTGGTTCAGCCATGGGATTAGCCGGTTGACACAGTGACAACGCCCACGTCTTCCATGCAATGGTTCCTGAGTTTAATCCTCGGACGGGACGGTGAATATCAGCTCTAACAAGAGCGACACTAGTCTAGTCATTTTGAGTGTATGATTGAATCCATTAACTGATGATCAGGTGTGAAGGTGAAGTCCTAAGAATAGTAAGTTCAAATCAATCAAACTTATTTTTCATTCTTTATGATTAATCATCGCTAAAATCCTAATTAAGTTAGGAATTATGCCGGATTTCAACTTAGAATCGATTCATTACCAGTAATCACAATACATAAAAGTAGTTACAACAACTGAAGCATGTATTATCAGAGGGTCGAACCCAATGGCGAAATCGACGCCAAAGATTTTATACCAGTCATACTTGTCTCGAGCACCGTTACTTTCGGAGTGCATGGCTATTGCATCATGTAAAAAATAAATATCATACACTAAAATAAGAGAACAGTCATGTGTGGCTACCATCATGGAAGAGGATGATATGTAAATACATAACACACAGATAACCAATAAACTCCAGAAACACAACTCACATGTGACTTGTGAATAAACAACAGCCAGAAAACTGAATTGCAATTGCGGACTTATACCGACATCTTCGAATATGTTTTGGAATAAAATATGAGAAAGTTGGTAGCTTAAGAAGTTGGATGCAGACTACAATCCGCCAATCAAGAAATGCACCTGAAAGTTAACTAAAAACTCTCGGTCTTCTATGGCAACCACCGGCTACTATTCTTCACATCTGGTATGCCCAAGGCAGTCTTATTCAAACTATCATGCACTCGTTTATCGACCACAAGAAGGCTATATTCAAATGAATGAAGTAATTTACCAGATTTTAAAATCCCAACGAATAACAACATTATTCGGTCGTTTTATTGACCAAATCTCACGTTCACTATTTGTGATCTGAACTGTAGTATACAAATTCACGATTAGAATGGTATGGCGAATCCCGCTCAATAATAAGAAAATAAGTACAGAAAAATAGAATCATGTTTATAGGGTCAGTCTATTCTTTAAATTCTGCACACTGCACATTATCTCACGTACCTACAGGGAAGCAAAGATGACAGGCAAATTGGTCAATCCACAATCGTCAATAGTCTTTGAGGAACGAAATAGAACATTCAACAAACGTACCAACAACATGGTGACGGGGCCAATCATCACCAGCGCAAACATCGACCCCAGCAATAAAGAACCCTTTACTATTGGACAACAGAATGTTCTGAAACAGTTGCTGATACTCAAACCCAAAGCGGATACCGATCTGTTGGAGGCTATCATCCTTAAGGAGTGCGCTGACACACTTTTGCCAGTGCTCACAGCTCTGTTTAACCAGTGCTTGAAGAACGGAATTATACCGGATCGTTGGAAAGCTGCCTCAATCGCTCCAATGCCTAAACGAGCCACCTCAAAATTCCGTCCCATTGCATGTAGGTCTGTTGTGTTAAAGCTTTTCGAGAAGTAACACCTTCAAGGAATGTTATCTCATCTGAATGTGCAGGATCAAAACCAATTTGCATACAGTCGCTCTCGTTCCACACTAGATGTCCTAGCTTTTCCGATTCACTGCATTCTGTCAGCACTTGATGGAAACAAAAAAGCTGTAGGAATTTGTTTCTTGGATTACGGTGACGCCTTCAATTGTGTTTACAGGTGTAAGCTGTTGAATATTTTGTCCTCAAACGCAATATCGTAAACCATTACTGCAGTACTCACTTAGTGTTTCTTAAATCAATCACAGTTCACATGTTACCCTGATCGTTCCTCCTCTTCCTTAAGTTCTGCATTAGGCGTATTACAGGGTGCCATTCTATCCCCGTTATTCTTTTCCACTTATATTTCATCCATGCCTACTTTACAAAATTCCCTGGTCATTAAATATGCGGACGATGTTGTTGTCGGAATCGCCTACCCTAATGCATCTGTCACCCCCACCCTCCAACTTGGCCTTACTGACCTTGCTGGGTGGTCCACTGCATATAACTTAACACTTAATCCCGCTAAATGCGTAGACATACTGTTCTCACTTCACAGAAAGAATCTTTATGCCAATCCCCTAGAATCCTGTCCCACGTTTAACATGTACGATGATACCATTGTACAACCCCCAAATGTTAAGTATATTGGTGTGTTAATTAACCGAAACGTATGCTGGTCTGACCAAGTTCTTTCTGTATTTGGAAAGGTCAGATCAGGTCATTTTATGTATTACGACTGAAAACACTATCCGTCCCTCGCTTCTTTATTAAACACTTTCTTTTGCCTGTGTTTTGCCCCTATGGTTGTACGGGTCCCCAGGAATCCTTCCTGGGATGCTCAAAAAAGACTTTAAATTGCTTTCCAGATCATTAACACATTTATCAAGAAGTAGCGGGATTTCCGGTGAAACTATCGCTTCACTTCATCATTTCCCAACATAAGAAATCATGCTTCTCGATATCAGCAAAAATCATTGATAACCCTTCACATCCGTTACATCAAGATATTATTAAGTGTGTCCTCCTCTTCCACCCGGTCCCGCTATAATTGTAAATTTGCTTGTACGACCGCCTATCGGTCTTCTTCTGACTGTCAAGCGAAACAAAGTTATAGGTATTATTCGGGCAGTTCCACCAATCTAATGGAAAAGGAAATCCACAGAATGAACAATATAAACAACAGCGTCAAGTTTTGAAATTGAAAGTTTGTAAGCAAACTGAAGAGGTTTATGAGCATCTGATGGGATCATCATCCGGTTCAAAAGTACTCTTTCAATAATTTTAACACAACTGAGGTAGAAGCATTCGGTCGGTAATTTAAAGAGATTCTTTTGATCATAGGTCTTTTCGAAGTGACCCTCCAAAAATCGGGAATCGTTTCGGAAGACATACACAAAATGGGCAACACATCCACAGATGTTACAAGGTGTCCGGTGCATGATTTCAATAATACGGTTGCTAATAAGTTAGGTCCATGAACCTTGTTCTAATTACGTTGCCTCAAAACGTGAGAACCCCAGTCGGAGAAACGGAACTGATGTCTTTAAGAGAACTGAAATAGGACGGTGGAGAAGTATAACCATATCAGACAAAATTGTTGATTTTGTTCTTCACATCAAAGCAAGAACTCCCACATGTGCTACGAAGTTACTTAGCGCCAACTCTTGTTTCCCAGACCGGTCTTAATGTACTTCCGATTCACTCTCTGAATCTCTGCTTTGATGAGCATCCAATGTCATTTAACATCGTTAAACCTTCCATTCATTTTTGCCTTTTATTTATTACGCCAAAGAGGAGGCTATGAAAATTCGTCAGTACGGATGTAAACATTATCGATGGAATATCAGGAAGCCAAACAAAAGGAAGATAGCCGGTGAGATGTTCGCATTTGTAAGAAACCTTGGAATTAAAGGGGAAAACAGTTGAAGAAGTCACACCTTTGGATATATTTGCGCTGTTCGGGGAACGACATCTCCTGCTCATTGTCCGAAACGCTAGACATGCTTTTTGATGGTGATACACTTTACAATGCAAATGAATTGTGCAGTGATCAAATGAGCAAATGGGAGTTCAGTTTTCTATAAAAATGACCACTGAAACATTTACCAAACTGGGTCTTCAACCGAGTAGGAGAGTGCAAAAGATTAACCAAACCTGATGTTTTTAGGAGAGGGAGAAACCAAAACGATTAAAATCATCAGCCTTGAATACTTTACGGGAAGAGTTGGTAGACATTTCAATGTCATGGCGGGTGCTTCAGGTGCCGTGTAAATACTCGCAACTGGATATGATGAAATTTACTGAGAAGCGGGACTAAAGAATGCATTGCATTTTACTGGTACTAAACTGAATCAAAAGATGAGTCGTTACACTATAAACGTTGGATAGAAGCAACCAATCGGCCACCTATATTAATAAAGTTTACAGTCTGACCATCTCAAATGATGTCAAATCCATCAAGCCGGAGAACGCCGTTCTGAATGTCAGGATGCATCATCACCTGGAGCAGAACTACCCCAACGTTTTGCTCACATTTGCATTTGCCACGATCTTGGCATCATCAAAGTTTCCCATAAATGAACGTTTTATTTTAAATAACAATGGAAATAATCCGTGTACTGTTAGAATACAACCCAAACTCGTGAAACGTTTTCTTTGCAATTTAATGAGATCAAGAAGAAGCAATAAGGTAAATGGATGGAATAAAGGCAAATATTTCCTGACATCACTTGTGTGTATACACTCAGATAACGTTTGGTCGACAGAAAAAGAAACGAGTTTGACGTCTAACGGGTCCAAACTTCCAGTCAGTTCTATGATCCGTTATATGCAAGATTACAAAGATTGTGACAGCCCCATAAATGCCTTTTTACCATTTGCCAGAACAGTAGCCGGTTTTATACAATGTTCTAAGAGAGCTGCCATTCGAGCTGCGAGCCCAACTTACCTAACCAGACCGAATTCGCAGCCAGCTTTGCCCTGCCTGTGAGTGTGTGACTGGACTTTCCCCGCCCCTTGTAGTGATTACACTACTGGCCCCTGAGGTCAACCGGGTTCGGTATTGTAATTTTGCCCTTCGTATCGATCAATAACTCGTCCATCTGTGTGTGACCTTGTTGCCAAATCCCTCTCTACCAACCAAATATGATCGAATTCTACAGTGGATGATGATACTAACACCAAATCATGGAATTCAATACATCCAATCTTATCCTGACACTTCTCGTTCTCCGGTAAATTAATAGACAGTTACATCCGCTGCATCTCCATTCGCATTATGAATGTGAACTGCACTAAACAGGTACTGTTAATGCATTTCCGTGTTTAGGTAGTAGTAGATTTAGTAGGCACAGTATTTCAATTTTATTGGTTAATAAAAATCTGCGGGATCATAACTAATAAATTACGACAGCAAGCAGCAACCCGTATGGTTTATTCGGAGAACAAATATCACAAAACTGAAGGATCACACTTAACGCTGCTAAGACAGCATAACCTGAACGAAAGTCTAACGACCTCGGAGATTTCCTTCTCTTTTACACATCAGAAGTCATCTTTATTTCCAATGAGCGGTTCACTGATTGCAAAAACGGAAATCTCATTGAGGCCTGTTCGCCAATAATTTCGAAAACGAGGCAGCATATAACTTAAAACAGTTATTATTGTTCCACTGCAGTTTTGCAACAACGGACAAAGTTACTAATGTATAGAAGATACGTTAATGGTATGCCCACCACAGAAAAATATTAAAAAATGTAAGTTCCTCCTCTAGCGTCATGAAGGCTTTGAGTAAAACAATGCGTCTGACGCTGGAAGAGAAAAAAACTATAACCTCGCATTCTGGACAATCTAAGAACACGGATGGCAGACAGAATGATTTGAAGGACTTTAAATCCCTAGAGCACCCGAACTGACCTATATTTACCATTCCATAAATTCACACTAATCCACTACAAAGGCGATACAGTAAAAACACTGTTCATTCGAGTATACTGTATTAACACTGGGACAGCTCACAAGCGAACGTTGATAAACCCAAATTAATTATTGCCAAGAACGGTAACCCCAGCAAACTTCTTCAAAAGTTCAGTCTGATACATGAACCAAAACAAGCTGTTTATGTCGCCCCTAATAAAAATGGTTACATTAGCCTCTCATTCAAAGACAACGCTATCACCCTGATCATACAAAACCGAATAAAGACGGTGGTAAATCGCAACCATCGTGCAGCCGATCAAATCACCCTGCACACCACAACACTGAATCCCACTCCATTCACAAATTAATTTCACTTTGTTTGCCAAATCACATGCAAAATAGGCATTCGAATGTGAATACGGAGCGTCCTGCATTGGCAGGTCACGTAGGCGAATGCATAAGCGGAGCGTAGAACACATCCCATTTAGGATAAGCTGCCGGTTGGCTGAGTCATGTGATCAAATGTCGTTGTCTTATCTGGCTCCTCAACCCCCGCAAACGGACGACCCGCCCCTAACACGAACAAACTTAAACAAACATCATTATTAAGAACCGCCTAACCTAAGAATACCGAACACACGAACAAGTAGCGTCATCCATCGCCTAAAATCTTCGAAGTGATGCAAAATATGGGAAACACTCCTCAGTGGAAAACTCGACTCGCTGCATTTGTAATTTAAGTTCGGCGAAATTTGGTCTAATGATATACATGATCATAACTCACAAA